GTACATTTCTATATTAATTAACATTGAAAAAATATAAGTGGTGAAATTAATATCAATTATAATAATTTTTTAATATAAATTAATGTAAAAAAAGTCGCATTAAAATGCACTCTTAGCACCAAAACCCCAAACTTTTATAAGGAAAAAATAAAAAATAAAAACTACCTAGCACATACCAAAAATGAAAGTGATATAAATATATGTTTTGTGATATTATAAATTTATAATTTTAACATATTATTATATTATTAACTTTTTTTATTTAAATATTTAATTGTAATATTATATATATTTATTTAATAATATGTTAAGATTGTATATATATATATATATTTATTTATTTATTTATTGCAATAACATGTTAAGATTTTAATCAAGATAACAATAGGTGGCATTGTGATTATGTTATTGCTAAAGAACAAAAGAAAATTATTGAGAGTGAACTTTTTTTAATAATTTTTTTAATATAATTTTATATGTTACTTGATATAAGTTTCAATCACTAAGACCTACAATATTATGTAACTTTATTTTAATATCATATGAAAATTGTATAAAACATTGTGAAAAAGTAAAATCTTAAAATTTGCTCTCAGATAAAATGATAAAGATAAATTTACCTCAAAAGAAGTAAGAATAAATTACTTGCTCAAATTATTGATTTAAATAAATTATTTATTATTTAAACGTGTAACATTACTATAAATTAATTTTTTGTTAAAAAATACTTAAATAACAAATGAATTTTTAACATATAATAATATCATATAGTAAATAATAAATAATTTATCTTAATTAACCATTCAAAGAGATAGTTTATTTTTATTTTTTTAAGGACATATTTGTCCCTACCATTCAATTTAACGGGGGATTTGAGAGTTCTGCCGTGAAAAATGTTGTCGCCGTGTGATTAGCCATAGAAAAAATGAAGATAGGAACAAGTTCGCTTTCAAACTAGCGATTTTCATGCAAAAACATTTACTCTCTGACCATTACTCCATAAAAACTCCCGCCAGAGTACCAATCAGAATTTGCCTTCCCCTTCAATCCGAACAAACGTCAAACATTATCGGACACCTCGGCCGCCGAAAACCATGGTGGGTTCTTCTTCCGACAAGCATATAGTGATGCTTCCGATGATCGCTCACGGCCATCTCATCCCATTTCTCGCACTTGCAAGAGAAATCCACCGACAGAAAGGCTTCACCATCACCATGGCAAGTACCCCTCTCAACAT